TAATATATGTTTGGCCAAAATTGAACAAGTGTCTGAGAGGGTTTTTGGCGGAGCAGATGATGAGACAGTTTTGCGTTATGAAATTGTCTGTTGTGTAATTCTCAGTGAAAGATGCAAGGTGATAAGGAGGGGCTTAGGGGGATACATACATACATGTATACATCATACATATATGCATACACACATACACATCTCTCTCTCTATATATATACATATATATATATATATATATATATATATATATATATATATATATATATATATATATATATATATATATATATGTATACATACACTTTGCAAGAAGAACAACGAAGGGAAGTACAGGAAAACACACGAATATGCCGAAGGCCTTTTCACATTTACTGCTTCATCAGGGCATGAATTCCACATGTATACACACACACACACACACACACACACACACACACACACACACACACACACACATATATATATATATATATATATATATATATATATATATATATATATATATATATATATATATTATACACACACACACACCACACACACACACGTACACACATACACACACATACACACACGTACGCACACACACACACACACACACACACACACACACACACACACACACACACACACACACATATATGTATATATATATATATATATATATATATATATATATATATATATATATATATATATATATATATTATACACACACACACACCACACACACACACATACACACACGTACACACATACACACACGTACGCACACACACACACACGTACGCACACACACACAAACACGTACGCACATACGCACACACACACACACACACACTCACACACAGACACACACACATACACACATACACACACACACGCGCGCACATAATGCATATGTATATATATATATATATATATATATATATATATATATATATATATATATATATATATATTATATTATATATATATATATATATTATATATATACATATATATATATATATATATATATATATATATATATATATATATATATATATATATATATATATATGTGTGTGTGTGTGTGTGTGTGTGTGTGTGTGTGTGTGTGTGTGTGTGTGTGTGTGTGTTTTCGAGCAACAAAGTAATTAGTGTACTGATATCCTATGCGTAGCCTAGTTAGTGTAACCTACTGTGTCCGAGACAGTCCATTATAGACTTTACATGGTTTGTTCATATCAGATGTCCTTGCAATACTTTCATAATGCCAGATAATACCACGTCCACTTTTCTTCAGTTTTTTCGGTGGTCCTTACCTGGCCCTCATAATCTCGAAGACAGCATACCATTACCATTATCTTCAATGGTTGAGAGATAATGGTACTACATAGGATGATTTTTCATGGGAGAGTGCTTGTTTTATTAACTGATCCACCTTGTCACAGGTTGATATATGAGCGGGATCCAGCATGGTCACACTTGTATATCCCACTCTGATATGCTAGAAATTTGGTGTAGGATATTCCTAATTAGCATGTTTCCTGGACTAAATGCAGTAAGTCTATAGGGTGCACCCTGGCTGTAAGAGAAGACAGATGGGTGCCACTGCTGTTCACTACCTTTTTTGAAGGCATGATATATGGCTACTGACTCGGCATCAGTTGTGGTTGCCCAGTTGGAAATTCGTACACTTTCTTTAAGAGAAATGCCAGGAACCAATCCCAGCTGCTTCGTGGGGATCAGTAAGGGAACCCAGTAAATTCCAAGTTGGGGGGGTACCATGAGGGGAATGGAGAATTTCATCTAGATATTTCAGGTAATGGAGTTTTAATTCTGCTACTGAAGTCATGCACTTAGGCCCTGTTAATTTGTCAATGTGAACATATATATGTGATCTATGTCATGGTGCAGTAAGTGTTAATAGCATCACTGTTCCACACACTGAAGCTGAGAATGGTTTGGGCAGTTTTGGCCTTCCACTCTAGCTTTGTATCAGATTGGAGTCTCGAGGGCGCCGGGCATGTCGAACTCTGTAATTGATCTCATTGGACAAGGCAATAGAAATTTGTGGTCTGGACTGAAGCTGCAGAAGTCTGATCGTGTTGACCTGGGTGATTCGGCTGTGAATTGAAGGGAAGTCTAGCTCTTTCCTTATGACAAGAACTTTAGCAGTCATTGGGCAGCCAAGAATGATTCTCATGGCTTTGTTTTGTAAGACTTCAAAGGGTTTGAGACTATTCTGTGGCAACATACTAAGAACTGGGCTTGCATAGTCTATCATGGATCTAACAAGGGATATATACATGAACCTTAGGACTCTTAGGGAGGCACATGTATTTGTTGCTTATGTATTATAAGAGTCTTAAACGTTCCAAGCAATGTTCTCTGATGTCTTGAACAATTTCTCGTGTGAAGCGAGAATTGCGGGACATGAGGTGCAATCACCATGGCACTAAGATACTTACAGGTTTTTGCAATAACTTGTCCACCTAACCTTGGAATGTATGGTAGTTTATGAGATTTGGAAATGTATTTATTCTTGATAGGGTTGATTATGTGATTCCAAAGGAAACACACTTTTTGCTGAACCTCTGGAGACCTGAATGGGAATGTCATCAGCATAGGATGTGATGCTGCACAGGTCTCCTAACTCATCGTTGAACTTGCAAAGAGAGTACATAAGTATGTTAAATAACGAAGGGGACAAAACTCCAACTTGTGGAGTGCCTAACTCTAATTCACCATAAGCACTGTAGGTGCCTTGGTACTATACCTTTGCTATTCTCAAAAACAGATAATCCTTTATCAATAGCAGAAGCTTGCTCTCAACTCCTAGAAGAGTTTAGGAGAAGCTCTGTCGAATGCTCCTTTAAAATCTATGAAGTAAGAAGACTGCACTACTTCCATCTAGGTACTGGGCTAACTTACTTTGTGTTCTTTTCCCTTTTTGGAAACCAAAGACTGATGGATGAATTTGATCCTTGATCTGGTGGAGCAGAAAATTGAGAATTCTTTCACGGGTTTTAGATAGACAGGATGACAGAGAAATTGGCCTAAATTCATCAGGGCATCCTGGCTTTGGGGTAGGAATAGTGGTAGCTCGTTTCCAGGCAGTGGGCAAGATGCCTGAAGTATAGGTTAAGTTGAAGACAAGAAGAAGAGGATTTCTTCCCTTTACCTGTGGCTTTGCAAGGAGTCGGACGATGTTATAAGTGATTCCTCCATCCCCAAGTGCAGAGGATTTGGAGTCAATCGATTCTGTCCAGGCATACAATCTCTCTTCCCGCTTTTGAGTTATTACCTCATTAAGCTTTTTACTAAGGAATACTAAGGCCCCTAGCTAAGTGCCTAAGCTGATTTATTGTACTTTATAAGCTTTCTAAGTAGCTTTATTTCAGGATCTTTGTTCAGGCAACGTGCTCGTTTGCCTCTGGAGGATGGAGACCTATGTTTCCCAGGGTTTCTGGGGTGGAGTTGGTTTATGATGTTACCAGCTTGCTGACAGAGAGTTTCATTAAAATGACCAAGGCTGGTAGGAGTAAAACCTTCATACCAGCAGCCAATCCCTTTAATAAATTCATCATGATGTTTAGTAGCAAGATGATATCGACGACGCGGCTGGCTTGGGCTACTGTTGCAAAATGGGAGGGTTTTTTTTCGCAGTGCTTGATAGTCGGTGCTGATTGTAGAGCTATATAATCTAAGTTGCCACCTAGGTAATGAGTCTTTTCTAAGGGGCATAACAGGTTTATAGGGTTACTAGTGTTTTGGAGATAGTCATAATAAACCTTCCCGTTTTTGCCTATGGTGCTTCCCTCAGAGCCCAGGAGAGGATGACGAGCATTAAAATCCCCACGTAATAAGTATCACTATGTATCATATTGTCAGGAGGCTTAGGTACCACTTCACTATCAAGCGGGTTATAGTTTACCATTAAGAAATATTTCAACACCAAGATATTCCGCACATGGGTCGTCACGTTTGCCATTGATCCCTTTTGATGGAATGCTAGTCTTAATGTAAATACCAAGCCCTGTTGCAGAAGGATTAGCATTATTAGGTTTGTCATGGCATGTGTATCCTGTAATTTTTGCATAACGAGCATCAGTTCTGACTTCCTCAACATCACCATCTTCCGTGTGAAGGTACTGAGAGAGGGTTGCCTTGCATTTCTGTTAACTGTTAATGTTCCAGGTAATGCATTTCAAAAGATTGGGAGAGAGAGAGAGAGAGAGAGAGAGAGAGAGAGAGAGAGAGAGAGAGAGAGAGAGAGAGAGAGAGAGAGAGAGAGAGAGTGAAATAGAGTGAAGGAGGAAGAAAGGGAGAGAAAGGGAGGAAGGAGGAAAAGACAGAGAGGGTGAGGAGGTGAGGGATTTAATTTCATTTGAGAGAGAAGGAGCGAGCGAGCGAGCGAGAGAGAGAGAGAGAGAGAGAGAAAGAGAGAGAGAGAGAGAGAGAGAGAGAGAGAGAGAGAGAGAGAGAGAGAGAGAGAGAGAGAGAGAGAGAGAGAGAGAGAGAGAGAGAGAGAGAGAGAGAGAGAGAGAGAGAGAGAGAGAGAGAGAGAGAGAGAAAGAGAGAGCGAAAGAGATAGATATATACTTAGATACATAGAGAGAAAGAGAGAGAGAGAGAGATAGAGAGAGAGACAGAGACAGACAAAAAGAATCATGAATATAGACATGTACACAGATAGATACATGATACATTTCGTTTATCTGAAGCAGAACTCTTGACGAATTCGAAACGTCACGATTTAATATCATTTCTTATTATGGTTGTTTTCCTATTCATTCTGTATACACGTTACTGTGTTTGTATTCATGGTATATACAGAAAACGGGGGGGGGGGGAATAAGAATAAGAGGAAGAAGAAAAATGAGAAGGCAAAAGAACGAGGGAGAAAAATATCAGACGAGGGTCCAGGCCTCCGCCCACCTAAGTGCATAATCTGAAGACCGGGTTTTTCCACGGGAGATTCCAATGGCCGTTCACCCGCCGCCCGTTACCCCGTTGCC